AGGGGCGCTTGTAGATTGAACACAGCGTGAAAAGTCAAGCAACAAGGTTCAAAGATGAGCAGGTTGAACAAAGAGGAACCCACGAAACCTTGGTCGGATTCAGGGGAAGCCTTTTGGGCACCTCAATAGGGAACCGTTGGAAGTTTGAGAACACGTTTCGTCCCACTGCCTGATGAATTCCTTGAAGGTCCCAATGTTTTCAATTAACATCCGATCGCCCCGTGGCCCCACGGGTCGCGCGCCCTGCCGCGCCAGGCACGCGGCCGCGTGCTGCGCGGTGGCGGGCGTGGTCTACGCGCTGGGCGGCTTCGACGGGCAGAGCGTCTTGGGCTCCGTGGAGCGCTACGAGCCGACCCGGGGAGGCCGGTGTTTTAAGACAGGAAGTTCTTCGCATGTGAAGCTTTCTTACGCAGAAAGGATTCAGCTTCTGACGCAAGTAATAGCGGCTTGAAGCCTTAAAGTAGACATTCATATGACGGAGAAGTCTTTGCTGCGAAAGTGGGCGGATCCTTCAAGCTGTCAGCTTGCAAAGAACATCAAGTGTGGAAACAAGAACAACTGCTGGGCCAACACTGTGCGTTTCCATTTGAGCTGTTGCTGGGTTTCTGGGCCTGTGTCATGGGGGTAACCTCCATGTCATTTTGTAATTTTTTTGGGGGTTCCTTTCAGAGGGAGCAGCCTGCTCGGTCTCCCAGGCCAGACTAACTTTTATACAAACAAGGACATGGCCATAGGGTCAACAAACAGTCAATCAATTTCATTCACGTGGACCATCCGAACAAAACGCGAACCGATAAAAGCAGGACACACCGTTTTGGGGAATCCATGGTGCCGCCGCTGGTGCCGCCGCAGGCTGGGAGACGCTGCCAGAGCTCCCGACGCCACGGGGGCGCTTGGCGGCCGCCGGCTGTGAAGGCCTGGTCTTCGTGGCAGGCGTGGCCAAGCGCGAGCTGGGGGGTCACACGTGTCCCCAGATTACATAAAGGGTGCTACGTTACTACTAGTAATGCCCTTGTTACTAGTAGCGATACCCTTGTTACTAGTAGTGATGTGGGATGGAAGATGATCGTTTTGGAGACTTGGGAATTGGCAGATGGTGTGGGACATTCTGACAGCTGACGTGTGACATTGCATTAGTGCTGACTGTGAAGCCGCGACCGAAGTGTGAATACTTGCCAAACAAGTTGGGGTTTTGGCAATCTGACATGCACCTTTCTTCGTGGCTTGGAAACAAAGGCGTTTCCTATCTTTTTCCCAGGTGCACTTGCCAAAACCAAAACATGTAAGCTGAGCCCACATCTCTTGGGCTCCCCACCGTCCCCGTTTCGTCCCAACCGTTTGATCATCATGGGCTCTTCCGCCCATGACTGCCGCTTTGGGCTCCGCCGTACCTGCTCCGCCTCTGCGATCCGTCCAGGTGGCAGCGACGATCAGCTCGAGGTGAGCGCCTTTGAGGAGTTGAACCCGAGCACCTGGGAGTGGCAGGCGACGGTTGGGAGGGTGTGGGCGACCCGGGTGAGGGTGTTGCGAGTTTTGGGCCCGGGTCAGGACGAAAGCCATAAGTCCTTCAAAGGCCGCGCTAGGTCGCAGCTAGGTGGCTTGGTGTTAGCTCACAAGTTTTTCTCCATGTTTCTTCTTGATTTGTGCCATCCTTCGTGGAACTGCTGAAGTAGAGGACGACTCGCAGCTTCCGCTGCTCTAAGAACCTGCAGTTTGGCAACAGATGAAGCCCCCAGTTCAATCTCAAATGCGAGCAAACGTCAAGCCGTCTCAAATCTCAGCAGCACTGATTGAAAGCAAGAGGCAACCAAAAGAACAACAGCGATCTCATCTCAACCGAGTAAATGCATGTAAATGCACCACAAAAACCAAAAAAGCACCGTGCCTTCACCCGTGGTGTGGGTGTTTTTGGGTGGAGTTTGCCGTTTCGAGGCGCGGCCGCCGCTGCCGCGGCCCCGCGGTGGCCTGGCCCTGGCGGCGCTGAGTGATGCGTTGGTGGCGCTGGGCGGCCGGCGGACGAACGGGGAGAAGATGGATGCCGTGGAGCGTGGCTGGGAGGGATTGGTGCGGAAGCGGAGAGGTGCAGTGATGGATAGTCGGATAGTCGATGGATAGATTTTGATAGATTGGATGATTGGGAGTGGGTTGATTGGACGTAGGTCTCACACATGTTGGAAGATGCTGCATGGCCACTGCACGGGTCACATGGACGCACGCAGGTTCGTTTGTGGGGGTTCGAACCATGTTTGGAAACGAGCGAAGATGATGAAGATGAAACTTCCATGAACAAAATCCAGTTGAAGTGGGTCACGCCATGCCCTTCTGTCTTTTTTCTATTTTTTCTTGTAGAAATCGTCCGCAGAACATCGTAGAACGACTCCTTTCCTCCCAATCGTCGTGGAACTTCCAATCACGGACGGTCCGTGAGTCAGGAGTGGCAGGGCAGTTTCTGGCGGATCAGTCGAGTCGTTCTTTTTGAGGATTGGTGAAACCAGGAGAGTTGGCTTGCAGCGCCACCACTAGTCAAAAGGTCGAGTCGTGATGGAATCTCTAAATCGGGTCATCGTTGAACCTTGATCAAGGAACCCCCCCATTTGGATTAACACTTCATATGGGGGCTTTATGAATCAGGAATCTAGTGCGCCGCTAAACCTGGCAAAATGAGCGGAAGATTTTCAGAACAGCTATGTCGCACTCCTTACAATGGAAAAAGCCTTTGAACCAGAGTCGCTTTCTCACAAAGGACCGTCAACCAACCCACACATCCCATCGTTCTCGCAAACCACTCATCCTCAGGTTATTCGCTTCGGCACATGACCTGGGAGAGCTTGGCGCCGCTGTCCTCGCCGCGGGACGGTTGCTGTGCCTGCGGAGTGCTGGGCAAGGTCTACGTCTTTGGCGGTCGAGGCCTGCTATGAAGGACTGAGGAAGCGACTACTATGACACCTCCGAGCTAGGTCTATGAATTTCATGAGTACCTCTCTGAGAGGTCAAAGGATGTCTGTCTGCCAATTCTTGTGGTACCTGGTCAGGATCCCAACACAAGACAATCTACGAAAGCGTCGCGACCTTTGTCTACAGGTGAAGCAGTCTACAGGGTCCAACAGGGTCCGACTAAAGACCTCAGGCGGTCTGAGGGCGACCTTTGTCTTGCCGTAATTTTCCCTTCTCGACGGGCGACTGTCCATCTCTGTGTGCATTGTCCTCACCCGCGCGAGGGATGGGCAGCGCTGGGAACCAGACCCTGGCGCTGGCCGACGCTTGGAGATTGGGTTCGGCCAGAAATGACTGCTTTTGGGTCCAACGAAGTATGTTGGGTGCTTTTTGTGTGGGCAGGCAAAGAGTCTGGAAGGAGGTTTGTATCTCCAAGCTTGCTGACACAGTGAAATGGGAGGGCGGGGGTAATTGAAGAAGCCTTGATAGACCACTTTGGTGATGTTCCAGAGCTCGGACTTCGATCTTGCACTGGGGGATCTCGAGCCAATCCTGACTGCCAGCATATAGCCGGAACAAAGAGGAGTTGTTTTGCGAGGACCCTTCGCTCTTCACGCATTGGAGCGCGTCTCCGAAGCCTACAACACATGAAGGGACTGCCCGCCTCGCCCAAGCAAATCCCGACGGTGTCAGGGGAACCGACGGGTCACGCGCCAAGGAGTGCTTTGACCCGGTGACTGGACGATGGAGCTCGCTGCCCCTGACACCTGGCAGAAGACGATGGGGGAAGGCAGATTTCTGGAATTGAACACAGGAAACTTGTTCGGGTGTGCCGCAACATGATGCACGAATGGACCAAGCATTTTGAGTCTAAAGAGTTGTGGGTTTGGGGCTTTCATAGGAGTATGAAGAAGTTCAGAATGAACTGATAGACATAAAAGAGAATAGATGTTA